AAATGGAAGTGATCACATTTAACCTAACATTATATTATACATTAAAATATCTTAATATATATAACATATTATAAACTTGAAAATTTTTTACAAATTGCATATCAGCACTGTGTCCTGAGTCTACTTTAATATGACTAGTCTTGAATGATGACAATCACAGCCACAGTTGGAACACACAGTTCTTATGTTCTGATTATTATCAATTACAATTTTCTATCAAGTTCATAACATGCTGAATGATCTGCAAACATTGAAGAAATTTTCTATCAAAGTTCATACCATGCTGAATGATCTGCAAACATTGAAGGAAAAACAGACAAGTGAAAAAGGACTAGAAGGATACTCCATTTCTGCTGCCACAAGTCAAGTTTTGCTTAACTGTAAGAGCTTAAGCTGCAACTGCAAATCCTTTTGAGCTTTATACAGATTCCCTGCACACAGCTGAATGCTGCAGTCAGTGCTTGCAGTGTCTCAGAGGAAAAAAATAAGGGAAACACTAGAATTTTAAATGTAGACTTACAAGACTGCTATCACATCAAAGTTACAAAGAGTAGAAATAGCAACATTAGTACTCAATTCAATGCTTGATTTATTTACCACTGTGGATTCGCAGGTGTTCCTTTAGGTGATGTTTATATTTAAAAGCTTTTCCACATTCAGTGCACTTGAATTTTCGATTACCACTGGACTGCGTCACATGTCTCTGCAAGAAAGAATTCTTAATTATTGCACAGGACAGCATGTTGGGGAAACATCTTATATTTTCACATTGTAGTAAAGAAAATGCAACAGAAAACTGAGAAGAATCAACCATAATTGTAAGAGAGTGAAGGTGGTATGGGTTATGCATGAAAAAGAAACAAATTACAAGTCAGGTAAAAACTGAGACACGTGTCTTCTGAATAAATCTGGTACAGTAAAAAGAAAAAAACAAAACAAACCCAAAATATATTAGCCCCTTCTCCTAAGTTTAGATAAAGCTTGCACTGACATGTTATGTGAGCAAGAAGTTCCAGGATGCATGCTAATTCTACTTGTGAAAGCAAAACCACCAAGAAAAACCCCAAGCCCACCACCCACAGAATATTTCATGCAGGACAGAGAAACATTAAAGCCTATAAAAGCCTGTTTAAAGTTTAATCAGTTGACTTGATTTTTCCATTTACATGCTTCCAGAGCTTACTGTAGGCCTTGGATTCCTCTATGTAATGATGTCACAGGATTGCTCAAGAGAAGGTAGCTCAATGACAACAAAGGCACTCTTGGTCACAATTAATTTGCAAAATAAATGCAAAAAACTGAATCAAAATAAATAAAAATATGGAGGGATTTCCCAAGTACACAACATCAAATCTCTGCACGATTTGCACTGAAGCCCTGTGATTATTCTTCTTAAGATTTTTGCCTTGTGTGAACATTTGTTAAGTCGTAAATTATTTTAAATTTATCTTTATTGTTATCCTAGTTTTAAAAAAGCAAAAGCTAAGACAGACATGTAAATACATGTAGTATATACGTGACACGTATATGCAAGATGTAGAATTTTATCACAAACGATATAAATCTATGAAAGTGTGTTTTCACATTACGTACACTTCACAAGCTGAAGCAGTTTAATTGCTAACATGAAATGGAAGAATTAAGAAATTTTTCTGTTCAAACAAACTGCTTATTAAAAAACCCCAGCAGCTCCTTTTTAAATAGAGCTCACTTTGCAAAAAGATACTCTACGACCATTTGGAAGAAGCTGCAGATTTTTGGTAACTGGGGCAAGCATTTTCATAAACTCCTTAGCAGAGCTATTCAGTACTCTGGGGAAACAGCCTGCCTACAGGCAGCCACTGATTCCCACTGGTGTGGATTAGCTTCCTCTGGTGTGAAACTGTGGTGGGGACCTCCTGCCCCTCATCTGCTCTGCTGTGGTCAGCAGTGCTGCGAGCCGATGCTCACCGAGAGCTGCAGCTCTTCTCTGAGTGCAGACATGACAACTGGGGGCTGAGAACTGCACTGGAGAAGCAGGGATGATAAAATGGCAGGATGATGATCCTGTTTTATGCCTGCAGATCTGAAGAATCATAGTATCAACCAGGTTGGAAGAGACCTCAAAGATCATTGAGTCCAACCCTACTGTGGTTACTCGACCATGGCACTAAGTGCCACATCCAGTCTCAGCTTGAAAACCTCCAGGGATGGTGAATCCACCACCTCCCTGGGCAGCACATTCCAATGCCTGAGCACTCTCTCTGTAAAAAATCTCTTCCTAATATCCAACCTAACCCTCCCCTGGCAGAGCTTGAGTCTGTGCCCTCTTGTCCTGCTGCTGGTTGCCTGGGAGAAGAGACCAACCCCCACCTGACTCCAACCTCCTGTCAGGGAGTTGCAGAGGGTGAGAAGGTCTCCCCTGTGGCTGTGCAGGTTGCTGGATGAAAGTCTGACCTCTCTGCTGAGATATGCTGTCCAAATTATCAACCCTTCCCATTCTACATCCTGTCCTCCTTTATATGTTACAGAAACTAACAGAAGACAAATTGAGACAAGATAATCTAAATTACTTTCCAAATACTCTAATTCGACAGTTCCCTTGGGAAAAGCGTTTGGCTAAGTTGCATATTTTACTTCTCAGCAGATACTGCTCCCACCCTCCTCAGGGTGTGCTCCCTCCTGCCTCCTCCCAGGCTCTGCAGTGAGGTCTCCACTCTGACTTATCCTGATTAGCACTTGACCCTTATTCCTGGGTTTGTCAGCTGCCTTCGCTAGTCCACACAGCTTTTCAGCTCCGTTTAACTAAGTCCCTTGAAGATGATGTTCTAGATGATTGTGGCTGACTCACTGCATTTCACTTTAATGATCCAACTGCACTGAGTCTAGAGGACCATGTCAGGATTTACTTAAGCCTGCAGAGAATCAGTTACTACCATTTGACTTGAGATTATACAAGTTAACGGATCTCAGCACACATTCAGCTCCTGCAGATGCTGGACTACATAAATATTCATACTAAATACCAGGCAGGGCATGTATTCAATATGTCAGAAACATTTCTGCTCCAGTCTTTAAAATTCAGTGTTCTGTTTTTAAGGCATGGAAGTCCACATTTCTCTTCTCTAATTTTTGATGAGTTTTCCTGTTTTCCTGGTCATAGCTATGCTGGTTTGAGCTTTCTGCCTTACCTTCTTATACTTGTAATTCTTTATTCAGCTTTCTTGCTGTCTGTCCCCTATACTTTTTTATAAATCTGGGACTTCCTCAGAATTATTTTCCAGGATCTTCTTTAAAACTGAGAAATCACAACTCCTCTCTAAAGTACCAGCTTTGATACTCTTTCACCTTCATTTTCTTACATTCAAATGATTCTCTTCATTTCACCACTGTTAAAGCCACATTATTTTGTGCCTCTGATGTGTGATACATTTTTAATACACTGTACACAACTGCTGTTTTCTGCTCATTAAAGAATTCACCACAGCATTCAAAGAATACTCCTCTGCACTCTTTGAAGGACTGAAAGAAGAAACATCAGTATTAAGGTATGTAACTAGCCATTAATATATCCCTGCATCAAATATTTACTGTGCTGAGGACTGAAGCCCACTCTTTTCATACCAGAGAACCAAAACTAATTAACGAGACTCCTCAGAAGTTATTGGGAAGACATGAATTACAGGTACATCAGGGTCTTTTTACAGATGATTTGACCATGGTCCTCAAGAACTGCCATTTCTCAGCAGTGTGCACAGCACTATGAAATTCTGCAGACTACCTACAAGTGTTTTGTAAATCGATTAGAAAAAAAACCCCAAAACAAATATAAGAAGCATCTTTTCATACTTCAACATCTTTTTAAGTGCTTTACAAGTGAAGCATCACCTCCTATGAGCTGTTAGTGGTCCCTCCCAGCCAGGGGAGCCAGGAGGATCACATGGCACATGGAGGAGGGAGGAATGAAGGAGAACATGCAGGATGGCTCTCAGCTCTCTGCTGGAGCAGGAGGAGATGCAGTTTGGCCTATCTGCCCCTTGCTCAGAAGGAGCTCAGTGTGCACATAGCCCATCCACTGCCTTCGCTACACTAGAATTTATCTTTGCTCATTACTTCCTTGTACAGAACATTTACAAAATTGTCACATGTTGGACATTAACCAGCTAACAAAATTATCCAAAATAATCTACTTTCAGGTGAATTCCTTTAAGAATAAGGCATCCCATTTTAAACATGCAGCTGTTTTAAGATCCACAACCAGGAGGTCTATACTTTACTAAGAACAAAAGTTCCTTTTCCATTACATAAGTGATATAACCATGTACATGCAATGAAGCCAATTCTGAAGACATGACAACTTTGTGACAATAACATAAACAAATACCTATTTCAAATTTACCAAGTATCTAAACCATTGTAGTTTGAATTCTGGCTATGGCTTTAGAAAAAAGAACTTAAACGTGTGCAGTGTTGAGTGCCAAATACTTGACAGAAACAACATTAAAATAAAATTGTGCCTTCAAAAGTATAAACCCATTAAAAATATCTGCAGGAATACAATTTAAGCTTCCCTTTGTATCAATTTTTCTGAGAATATTTACTCATTTGGTATTTTTTATCTTTTCATTCACACTACATGCAAATACAGGAAAAGCTTCTATCCCCCAACTACTTGATGCTTCTGCTTTCAGGCTTTTAACTGGAAAAACTGAAAATAAATGTGGTAGCTCATAAAAAAGCATTATACAAATAGCATTTATAGATTTTTATAGTTAGAAATATAAGTTGCATATAACACAATAGGAACTTTTCAATTGGAAGCCAAGTCAAAAAGAGAGCTCAAATTCTTGAACTTATGGATACTTTGTAGAACAGAAGTTAATATGTCACTTGTAAAAAAATCATCTCCTTTACTCTGGGCTACAGTCTTTCAGTTTAACAAAAGATCTGTTGGTTTGGAGCTACTAGAAATGTTGAACTACCTTTCCCTTTACATGCTTTTCACTATTCACTGTTTAGCATCTTTCTGTTATGTTTGTCTCCTGTTTCATCTCTGGAGAATATCAATCTTTCTAGTCTGTCCTCAGAAGGGAACATCTCCAAGCCTCTTTAACCTGGTGGTGGAAAATGCATCTTTTTTTCTTTGGATAATTCCTGACTGTTTCAGTTGCTTCCTGAACCTCAGAGTGCCCCTGATAAACTGTGGAGGCACATACTGGGGATCAATGATGGGAAACTGTGGGGATAAAAGAAGAAAGAAGGACAGGAGAACAGAATCTCCCATAGTGACCAGATGGCTAACTCATGGAAGGCTTTTCAGGGAACCATGCCCTCAGGTTAATCCATAAACCAGAGAAAAAAAACTCGTAACATCTTTAGCCTTTTTTGATGCTTCATTCAGTACTGAAACACTGTACTTTATGCACTAATTATTTGTATATTATCTTATAGCATGAATTGCATTTAAAAACTGTACCTCACAATTCAAGCAACACAAGGGTTTGTTTCTCAAGGGCAAAAATGCTACAGCAAGTTTTGAATTATCCAAACAGGATTAGATCACAAATCACAGTGTTGTTACAGAGGACAATAAATCCTTAAATCAAATGCCACTTACTTGATCTCTTCCTGATTTGTGTGATGTCATGTGGCGGTCGAGCTGTGTTCTGTATGCAAACGTGTAACTGCACAAGGAGCAACTAAAGTTATCTTCGTTTTTTTCATGGCGATATTTAATGTGCTCCTTCAGAGAGGTAAAACGCTTGTACCCTCGATCACAATATGGGCAAGTGAGCAGCTGGGAAAATGCATCAGGTGTTCCTACACAGGAGAGACAATACGCTCTATTTGAATAAATGCAACTTCCAAACTTAATACCATCAACAAATATTTATATTTACATATATTACTGCAAGAAAACATGCAGCTTCTAGAAGCTCCATTTGTTTTAGAAAAGGACTAGTGAATTATTCAGATTTTTTTTCCACAGGTATTATGCTACTAACTACGCTGTGGTATGGTTGCCCCAGTGTACACTGGAGGGAGTTAGCACAATATGCTGATAGGACAAGGTGGGGAATGGTTTTAAACTAAAAGGGGGTAGATTGAGACTAGGTATAAGGAAGAAATTTTTTATGATGAGGGTGGTAAAACACTTGAACACATTACCCAGAGGAGTGGTAGAGATAGCAAATGTCACTCCAATCTTCAAAGTGGGCAAGAAAGAGGACCCAGGGAACTACCAGCCAGTCAGTCTCACCTCAATCCCTGGAAAGGTGATGGAGCACCTCATTCTGGATGCCATCTCTACCCATATGGAAGACAAGAAGGTGATCAGGAGTAGTCAGCATGGATTCACTAAAGGTAAGTCATGTTTGACCAACCTGATTGCCTTCTACAATGAAACAACTCCCTGGATGGATGAAGGGAGAGCAGTGGACATTGTCTACCATGACTTCAGCAGGGCTTTTGATCTGTGTCTCACAGCATCCTCACAGGCAAACTCAAGAAGTGTGGGTTGGACCAGTGGACAGTGAGGTGGACTGAGAAGAGAACTGGCGGCAGATTCCAGAGAGTTGTGATTGGTGGCACAGAGTCTAGTTTTGGAGGCCTGTCACTAGTGCTGACCCCCTGGGTTCTATACTGGGCCCAGTATTTGGTGGCACAGAGTCTAGTTTTGGAGGCCTGTCACTAGTGCTGACCCCCTGGGTTCTATACTGGGCCCAGTATTGTAGAACTTACTCATCGGTGATTTGGATAAGGTTATAGTGTATCTCCTCAGCAAGTTTGCTGATGATAAAAAACTGAAAGGAGTTGCAGACATCTCAGAGTGCTGCGCTGTCCTTCAAAGGGACCTTGACAAGTTGAAGAGATGGGCAGAGAAGAACTACCTGAAATTCGGCAAGGGCAAGTGCAAGGTCCTGCACCTGGGAAGGAATGACCCCAAGCAGTGGTACAGGTTTGGCACTGACCTGATGGAAAGTAGCTCTGTGGAGTAGGACTTGGAGGTCCTGGGGGACAACAAGCTGTCCATGAGCCAGCAGTGTGCCCTTGTGGCCAAAACCAATGGAATCCTGGAATGCATTAGAAAGAGTATTGCCAGCAGGTTGAGAGAGGTGATCCTACCCCTCTACTCAGCCCTCGTGAGGCCACAACCGGATTATTGTGTCCAGTTCTGTGCTCCTCAGTACAAGAGAGTGACATGGAGATCCTGGAGTGGGTCCAGTGGAGGGCAACAAAGACCGTTAAGGAAGCAACTCTCTTACAAGGAAAGGTTGAGGGAGTTGGGCTTGTTCAGCCTTGAGAAGACATAACTGAGAGGGGACCTCATCAATGTCTGTAAGTATGTGAAAGGGGGTGTCAAGAAGATGGAGCCAGGCTCTTCTCAGTGGTGTCAAGCAGTAGGACAAGAGGCAATGGGCAGAAACTGGTGCACATGAAGTTCCACCTGAATACAAGGAAGAACTTCTTTACTATGTGGGTGACCACACACTGGAACCGATTTCCTAGAGAGGTAATGGAGTCTCCCTCACTGGAGATATTCAAGAACTGTCTGGACGCAATCCGGTGCCATGTGCTCTAGCACGGCCCTGATTAAGCAGGGAGGTTGGACCAGAAGACCCACTGTGGTCCCTTGCAACCTCACTGATTCTGTGGTAGATGTCCTATCCCTGGAAACATTCAATGTCAGGTTGGACAGGGCTCTGAGCAACCTGCTCTTGTTGAAGATGTCCCTGTTCATTGCATGGGGCTTGGACTAAATGACCTTTAGAGGTCTCATCCAAAGTCAGACTGGTCTATGATTCTATGATACACAGATATGCATGTGTTGGTAGGACATGCTGTCTGCAGGAAAGAAAGAAGAGAGATCAAAAGTTAGGCCATAAATTTGATTCTCATGTGATGTATGGAGACTATTTTGCTGCCTTTCATGAAGTTATTTCTGTATTAGCACAGGGAAAAGTGAAATCAGATCGAAGCTAAATATGAATTCCACAAGTCTATTTCTGAGAATTCACCATTTATGAAATTTGAACTCCATCTCTTCTTATTAGCATATATTTACCTCCCATACATCGTAACTTATTCTATCCTTGAAAAATCAATGTTTTTAAGGATTGGAAAAAAATTTCTTTATAAATTGATACAAGTATGTTTAAATAAACGTAGGGTTTGCTGTATTTGATCAAACTATCCATTTATAAGAGGTGATATTCTCCAACAACCATGCTACCCTTCCATGCTTCAAGACAAAGGGGAAGCAAAAGTTGCAAGGATGCAACTATGCACTGTGCTGAGCATGAGCAGGAGAGAAAGGTGGAAGGTCTTTCCTGATTACCATTTTATGCTCTGACGCACGAGGGGAAGATTTGTACATGCTGTCATTTTAAGTTTCGGAACTATAAGAATTATTAATACTCATAAAATTAACCAGTACTTTAGAAAGTACTTCTGAATTATTTACCTTCATGACCTCTTCCAGCAGTTATCACCACAGATTGATTATATGTTCTACGAAGTAGCAATTCATTCTGCCTGTGTGGAATTTACTGACTTTATTTTTACTGAATGTGCCACTGTTCTTGCAACAGTGAAAAGGAAAAGAAGAGTCAGATCAGTCTTCATCTTACTAAACCCCACCACCTTTTCTGTCATATAGGTTCTTCTATACTCATTATGATAACAGTAAAGGTAACACTCATACTGCACTGGATTTTGTGTTGTTCTACCCCTTTCTGCTTTTCCTGGTTTAGCTGGGTTGTCCAAAAATCAATCTGTCCCCACATGGTTAGGACACAGTATACTTCCCTTCAATTCCCTTTAATCCATCTACAATTCAATTCACTTGACATAAAGAATACTGCATTTCAGCACAAATACAACTCAGTGGAAATGTCAGAAGCACATTCACTTAAATTCTATTTCCACTGGAGCAAATGGCAAAATGGCAATGGTTTTCTGAAGTCACTCAAAACTCTTAATTCTCTGTCACTTCTCTTGTCCATTCCTCCAGTTTAGAGGAATGTATCTTTAGCAAATGTCACCGTATTTTTTGGCATTTTCTGTTCCAAAATGATTAAAACACTGAGCATTATTGTTCAGCATTGTGATCTTCTGTGAAGTTACTGGGATAGGCCCAATTTAAATTATTAATACAAATGTGTATTTTTAATGATGACATGGAAATCACGCAGCAAGGCAGCAAATCTAACTTGACAATCTGTGCCACTGCAACCAGATATTAAAATCTTAAATTAATCAATGCACCTTTGAAAAAAAATCTCTAATAAAATTTCTGGAAGAGCAGAGTGAAAAGGTTAGCATTACCTCTTTCACTCTTGGACTCCAGTACAATCCTACAGCTATAATGACATTTATCTGTCCAGTTCTGCAGATTTTTTAAAACAACTAGAACACAACACCACCTAACCATTTATGTAGGATTTTACTTTCTCTTGAAAAATCATAAATACTCCAATCAAGGAACACAATCTGGTTGAAACTGAAGTTGTCACAGGTTGTGAAAGCTGAACACTTCAGAAAGCAGTACAGAATGCAAACCCAATCTGAACAGGTTTTTCCTTCAAATATTTAATGACAAAGAAATGGACAACGTATAACTTGTCATCTCACTCTGAAAAACACCTTAAGCATGAAACGTACTCAAAGAAAATACCACATCTACTTATAAATAACAACAGGTAATTACTTTTTCACATAAATGTTTCTGTATAAATGAGGTTTCTTTTTTCTCCACTGCTGTCTTTTCAAGCAAAAAAACCCCAAAGCCTGTCATAGACCGGCTATCTAACAGATCCTGTTGGGAGCTTTGTTTAGAATTACAAAAAAACAAACAAACAAAAAAGAAACATATTATAACTCCCTCTAAGTTATTCTTACATAAAACTACACTATCTTGTTTTATTCCCACTATATTTAATAAATGTTTATTCTCTTCTTTCATATAATGATGCTGAATGGATTTATGAAAGCTTGAATTTTTTTTCCATTTACTTATCATTTAGGTACTCATACAATTGAACCCCAGTGTATGTCTTGTTTCACAAAATCAAGTAGTAATGTTTTTTGCATGATGATCCCATCCTCTTACAATTATTTAACTGTCAGTGGTCCATCCACCCCCTCCCCTCTCCAAAGTTACATGTGTATGCACTGTTGTCTTTTAAAATATAATAGAACTTTTGGGTCAAGTAGTTAGTACAACTGATTTCCTAAGAACTGAACTGGTGACATATTTACCATTTTCATCCTGACCACTTGCTTCTGGTGTGCCTTGTCTCTGGTCCTCCTCAGGTGCTTCAGGGTATATAACAGCTGTATCTTCTTGTTGAAGGAATTCTTCAACATTAGGGTCATGGTTTTGCTCATTTTCTGCATCAGAATCACATTCATCTTCTTTTACTAAGAGTGAAAAACAAGACACAAGATAAGAAACAATGAGTTTAAAAAGAACATAAATGAGATTCAGTAATTCACACTGCCAGATCACCCTGTATCCAAGGATTTAAAAACTCTTTGCAATTACTAGTGTAGGTCAAGCCCTTTAGGATGCTGGATTATGCCAACTTTTAAAACAGAGAACCAATAGCATAATGATACTTAAAAACTTGACTAAACAGAGTTTGTCTCTTCAACTTGGTGCATTTTTATCCTTTGAGATTTAGCTGTTCCTCTCAACTTTCCCAAAAATCTTAAATGCAACATTATGATTTAGCCCTTGCAGTTTGCAGTTTACCATCTTGGCTCCTATGCTTGCAAAAGGAAATTTGTTGCCTTCAAGACATAATTTTTAATGTTCATTAGCACAAGCCCAGAAGATATTTAAACTCTGAATAAAAAGTTGGCCAGATGAAATGCAGCAAATGAACTCTGAGTGGCTTCTTCTTTGGTGTTGGAAGTGGCTACCAAAAAAGGTTGCAGATCTAGTCAACAGCCTTCAACATTTTCCAGTTAAAAACTTAAGAAAGAAACCAAATGAACAACTGTATTTCAAAGTTAAAAAATAATAAATTAAGTATTTTGCCTAATGCTTGTATGACAAATATTTGCTATCAAGTATTTGCTGAAATACATTGTTCATAGAGCTTATTTTTACCATGGTAGAACATTCCGTGAGAGCTCTGCAGCACACTAAATCATGACAGATGTTCTTCCCTATTAATAATGTGAGGTATATTTTTAATAGGAAGGAGAAGTTTTATGATTCATTTCTCAGTGTTGAGTCACTCAATTTACAATTTGACACAACCTTTCAAAGACATGAGGCACTCTCACATATGGACTGTAATGCAATGCATAATGGAGTTCTCCATACTGGTGTGGAGAGATCTGACTTCATAGCAACTGAAAAGAATGTGTTAAACTATAGTTTTAAACATATCAGTATTTAGATATGAGATCTGGTTGGTTGGTTGGGGTTTTGTCTGTTTATACATAAGGCTTACCCTGAAAATATCTACCTACCTAGTAAAGGCATTAAAAAAACCTGCAAACAACTTTGAAAAAGCTAGATGGGCTATATGATGATTTTTTTGTCAAGCAGAGACACAGAAAAAATAACAAAGCATGTTTGTCAGATAAAGAGTCTGAAAGTGAAGTTCACATTTTATTTTGCCTTCTGTGTAATCAGTAAAAACAGAAGAGCTGATAATAACATATTGCATTAGCTTATTTTTGTGTATTTATTAAGAGTCTAAACCACTATTTATTGACCCTCACTGTTATGTGTGGAAGATCATTGCTATTCCTTGTTTTGCCCTACAGGGTCATGGTGCTCCAGTGGCTCTGTGGTCAGGCCTTGGGCAAGAGGGATGCTCTGCATCACTGGTCCCCTGCACCTCTGGGCCCCAGACACCAAAAACGTGCCCAGACTCTTCTTCCTCAGCTAAAACACTATTGACAACTTGAGACCTGTAGCATGGAAAAGCAAAGCAGTTTCATAAAGAGAGGTGGAAGAATTCTAAAGATTTTGGAAGGATGCTCCCCTAGCCAAAATTCAGTATCACTTTATGAATAAGGGGCTCAGATTAACAAAGAAATACCTGTACATCCAATTTCATCTGTCTGAGCTTCAGGCCCCAGGATTTCCTTTGTTTCTTTTCCAGCTGAAATAGCACATTTCACAAAAAAAAAGAAGAACAAATATTGTAAAAAAAAAAAAAAAAAAAGCCCACGAAACAATCACAAAAAAAAGTCACACGGACACCAACAACTTAATATATAGACACACAGACACCAACAACTTAATATATTGGAGCTCTTTCCTCAGCAATGTTTTCTGTTTCTGGATTGTTTAGAACTGCACTAAAACACAATGTTCTTTCAAAAATATGGATGGCACATTAACTCCTCAGTGTGTGATCGGCTGAACCACAAAGATATTTCCCAGTTAAGGGAAGAAAATCTTGAAAGGAAGCAATACTAAACACCAACCATTATTTGAAGAGAGGTAAAGAGATGGGCAGTGTTTCTCCAGCAGATACAGAGTCAGGTACTTAAATGACCCTATCTACAAATGCAGTTATCTGATACACTGGAATATTATTTCCAGAAACCAGAGTATCATAAACCAAACACATTTATGCTATTTTCTCCAATTAGCAGTTTTTGGAAACGATTTGGAAACAATTTGCTGGTAATGTCTGCAAACAGCAACCTAATGTGTTCTCTTTCTTGTAAATCATCTACAAACCACTTATGGCTGTGATTGCTTCAACAAAAAAAAAAAAAAAGGATTTTAAACACGTGCTTCCCACTTCAGAACAACTGTGCACTACAGAAACATTTCACCTATTGATTCCTATATTCAATACAAGTTTCCAGGCCCCAGATGCTCACAGAGCTAATGCTGCAGAGCCAACTTGCTGCCCAAGCTCTGCTGAGCTGCAGAGTTTGAGGATGCAGCATGGAAGTTTTAACTCGCTACAGGTTGTTGGTTCCAATCAATAAATGGCCCAAGTTGTTCTTAATTTCTGTTCATTGGGTACTCTGGCCTGGGAAGTTCCCACAGGCAAGGTGACTGCTGACATCTCTGCCAGTACCTTGCTTATGCAGGAACACATAGGAAAGCTGTGTTGGTTGTTTTGCTCTTTATCAGTAGTATGCTATGATGAGAGATGTGAAATTAAAGCATAGTTTCATTATGGAAACCTTGCATGCTTCAGATCTAGACTGAAGATAAAGACTCCTCTGTGATGCATACAGGAGGTTAGACCACACAGCTGCTATGATCTGAAATGGCAACAGCTGTACTTTCATTTACCCTGCATCACTCTACCTCAGTGCAGCAAAAAATCCTTTGGTTTGGCAAGTCAAAAGCTCAGACCATTCCAGCTTTTTACTTACAGGAGAAGCCAATTTCTCCTTTATATGGAAGATAATAAATTCTAGGAGAACTTGAAGTTCTCAGATAGTACCAGCTTTCTCAGAGGAAAAGCTTGTTAATTCTGTCTACTTTGACCAAATTCCACAGACTCAAAGCATCCACAAACAGCGACAAACAAGAAATATGTTTAAAAGAAAACTTAAATCTTATCTGAATTTCAATTGTCATAAAAAAAAAAAAAATCAACCAACTCAAACAGTCTGTATTTATTGGTCAATACTGGATTGTGAATTAATTATATTTTTGGCTCACAATACCAGACTTGGTTCAGAATCCATAAGACTGGGTGCAATGCAAATTTAAATCCAAAATTTTACTTCTTAAAATCAATCACTCTTTTCCTTTAAAAAGGCTTTGTGATTTTTCTCCATTATGAAATAGGGTCTATGGATGAGGGTGAATATCTATAAGTTATTACTCACAGAAATTTAAATTATAGGGTCTCTAGTTATTCCACTGGCTTCAGTACAAATAAATGCTATGCTTCCCAAGGTAATGTTAAGGAGTTTATGGCCACATAGATTAATCTCAGTAAAGTTAAAAACCCTCTCAATTTTAATAACCATAACCTCTATTTGGTAGTGACTCTTCCCAATAGCTATAAAATAGGATATAAGACAGGGAGGAGCACTTTTCCACAGGGGGTCATCTTCCTTAATGCTGTAGGAATAATTAATAATCAGAAAAATGTTGAAGAGAGCTCTATCTTTATAGATATGCATGGTCCACATAGGAAGACAACTCTGTAACTGTGCCCTGAGAAGCCCAATTATCACACAGCAAACACAGCTACTGGGAAGCACTGGAAAGGGATGTGATGATGAGAGAATAGATCTTAAGACACTGTTCCACCAAGCAGAAGTCAGAGCTCAGAGTTCTAGATGAAATTTAAACTACCTGCTGAAAGACAGCTTAAACACAAGTCTCCATGAATAGCATCTAGGGTGTGAATATCCATCTTGGCATTACATCTGGTCATACCAGATAATTGTAAAACAGGTTCTTAGACTTCTGTATCTCATCACTGCACATGAGTTGTGCTGAGAGATATGGTGGGGCTTCCCAGGGTTAAATGCTAATGGTTTTCAAATCACAGGGAACAGTGTTAACCAGCAGCAAACATGCATGACAACTGCTGTGTCATGGGCTGACTGTAAAGATCTCTGCATGACTAAGATAACTGATCAAATTAAACCACTAGCAAAACAGAAACTGTAGGCAGAAAGACAAACTTCATCGAAATTTCCACTGAAGTCTTTATCTGCAGATAAGGAAATAAATTCCGAAGCCCATCAAGAGAGCTTCTAATTTAAATTCTTTAAAGCTAATTTTCTGATATACATGTAGCAAGCACTATTTACAGCTTACAGTATTGACTGATTATTTGCTTTTTGATTAAAAAGCTGCCACACTTTTTTAGCCTTCCTCTCAAATAATTTTTTTTCCTCAACAAGCCACCAAATATAAGAACACACTCTCAAGCACAAAGGCTCAACCTGAAATTTTGTGACTTAAAGGAATTTTTGAGTTCCAGGAAGAGATAAACATAAAACATAACTTCATTAATTTTTAAAGGTTATTTCAAAGTCTGGATTTTTTTTTTAAATTTTTTGATTTTTCAAAGATATCTCAGTTGCAGTTCTTGAGATCTCCAGATTTGCTAAATACATATAGTATGTAATAAAGCTTTAAAAGTGTATTAATAGAGGAAGTTTAACGCTTGGTTTTTTTTTTTTAATTGTAGCATAGGTTTTACTTCTAACTAAAACAAAAAAAAATTGCATTACAGAATCATTGCTGGCACACTGTCAACAAGTTGTGCAGGATACACGTGATTTACATTTTTAACCTCGTAGGACTGTTTCAGTTAAACCTCCTGAGAAACACACCTTGTATTTAAAACACCTGTTCTGAAGGTCTTTTAGAAATTCAGTTAGAATGACTGGAAACGGAAGGAAACTAATCTGATAAAGAAGTGCGACGTGTGATTTCTATTCTTGGGCATTCATGAACAGAATCAAGATGTAAAAAACTCATTCTGTCGTGTTTAGCTAAACCCAGAACTACTCAGTACTACTTTACTGATGAAACACAACTTATTTAAGGTGCTGTAGTGCATGTTTTCTAAAGATAATCACCAGTCCTGAAGATGGTGTATTAGTGTTGCACAACACCTAACCCAGTACCTTTCCCTGTATGAGAGCTCATATATTCAGCACATCTCTTTTCAGATTTCTAATGTGCAACCAAGCTCAATGATACAATTTTCATCTCACAGCTTTCCTTCTAGGAAAGCTATAAAAAGAGTAAATAGTACTTTACCATAGCAAATCAAAGCTCCATAAAACCTAATGTAGCCTTCATTTTTCTCATGTAGTCATTGCCACAAATTCAAACAATTTATTTAAAACCCCTCCTTATTATCATATAAAAAACCAAAATGCTCCAGACTGCTACAAAAGAGACTTCAGAATACATAATTCTTACAGAAGAAATTTATGGTAGTTGAACACGCCTGTATGGTAATTGATTAATCTTTTGTCTGTCTAAGCACTCAAGAAATACTGATTTCCTCAGCAAAGACGATCTTTTGTCTGTCTACGCACTGAAGAAATACTGATTTCCTCAGCAAAGACCAACACAGAGAGAAATTACCTACATTGTGAATCTACAACCACAGTATAATTGAAAATGAAATAGAACTTCGAATTTTTGCAAACAAATTTTTAAAGGTTAAAAGTGGTCCATTTTTGACATAAGTAGTCAAAAAAGATGCCATCACATGTCCTGAAAACCCCCAGAAGGTTATCTGAGGCAAGACACTGTATGATGGGTTCATCTACTGGAAATGTCCAGTCCAAAGGGTCTTGACCAAGAATCTCTGTGAGGCAGTGCTCTTTTTCCCTCCCTATTTTGAGTTTCATACACTTATGCTTGAAGGGTTCAAGTCTACACACAGCCCATTTGAATGTAACTGCAATTGCTGATAGATGCAGCCTGCAGGAGACCAAAGATACAACAGGAGAACTAAGAAAATTACCTACCTAATAATTTAGCTCCAAAATACTCATTTCCCGGCACAGCATAGCTTGGCAATAGCAGCTATGTAAAAACAGGCTGAGTTGATGCTATTCTTTGAACTCTCAGCTGCTCTCTCTCAGCTGGACTGCAGTTAGGGACCATATGACTGCTTTCCATTTATTTAGATGTGAGGTCATGCACTGTGTATTAAACCACCAGTTTTAAAACCTGGATGCTAAGAATTGTGGCTGGAGTTCAGACAAACAGGGATATGCTGGGAAATGTTCTGTATTTTTCAGGGCATTAAGGCCAAATTCCACAATAAATTCCACTAATTTATGCATTTATCCCAATTTGGCTCAAATGTAAGCATGCTGTGTGATATTATGAAACTCAGTATCTGATTCCACAGGAAAAAAAAAAAAAAAAAAAAGAAGCTCATTTTCTGATTGCTTAAAATTTTCAGCTTCTAAAGCTGCTGCATAATATGTACAACATTTACCTCCTTGTAGTGTTTTTAAAATAGATTTTCATTATGACTTACACAGCCAATTCTAAAACTAATAATCTAGAAATTATTTTTTCTGGCTACATTTTAAAAGGAAAAAATGCAGAAGCAGCTCAAAAGGAGAAATTTACATGTGAATATTACTTTGTTTCATGTTTTTGGCTTACTGCTTTCTCCCCAAGCTGAGTAAATGCTGAACCTTGCAGGGAACTATGGCTGAGACCTGCCAGGCAAAAAGACTTGGAAAAACTAAAAGCAAGTAACTAGTCTCTGATCACCCTTGAAAGTGCTGCATCTACAGATTGGAAGCTCCTGTTTAACAATGCCAATGGAATTAATGCACTTCTGAATCTGCCACAAATATTAAATAAAGAACATAAAGTGTATTACGATAAATACGTTAGAAAAACTTTTTTTTTTAATTAAAAATACTACATGTTATTTCAGTAACAAAGTGCCGCTTTTTTTTAAATTAAAAATATTACATGTTATTTCAGTAACAAAGTGCCGACAAAAAAAGTTCCAGTGAATCTTTGTTTTAAAAAAACCTTTCTTTACATTGTACCATCAGTGAAAATGAACATACCTTCATCTTCCCAGCAACTGTTTGTATTCCCTTCTCTTTCACTGCTTTCTGGTAATACTATATGGTCTGTTGGCAAGTCATCTTCTGGCACACTAGCATCACAGTCTGCTGCATCCGTTACACTTTCTTCTTCCACTATATGCAATTTATCTTCATCATCTGAATCTGAGTTTGCTTCTACCACATTGTTATAATTGGTGACTGTGGACAGACAAAAAACAAAATATGGATCAATATACTCCTAATTGACAGCACAGAAGTCCAAAGCTTTCAACACTCTGGGCCAGATGGTATATCTGGGGCATCTCCATGGAATCACATTATTATTTCTTCTTTCCATATGGGGATGGCAGTGCTTTGTGAGCAACTTGGAAGTAATAGCAGCACACAAGGAGATTCCTGACAGCTGCTGAGCTTCCACCACTGCTGGGAACCACAGCACCTCTCACTTGGGCACAACCAGTGTAAGGCTGCAGAAGAAAAGGCAGTGGACAACTCCAGAGCTGGAGCCATACTGGAGCAACAGAATTCCAACTGGACCACTCCAGTTTGGATGCCAGCATTACTATATGCCTCCTTTAAGATTATTATGGCCTGGACAAGTTTGTGAAACACTTAGTACTGATAAACTCCATTCAGTTACAGACAGATGAGTATAATGAGTACAGGCTGTATGTACATAGCAATCAGTGGGGTATAGAAGGAACCAAACTGTAGGAAAGCAACTGGTGCTGAGCACCAAGTGACCCCAGGCTGAGCACTCTCCAGACAGGGCAGTCAGCTAGTCCCATCAGCAAGCCCTTGCCTGCAGGTATGCACACTAGGTGTGCTCACCCAGTCCATCTTCTCACTGGGTCCTCCTGTAAGCAACACCACCCTGTGCTCCAGCTATGTGAGTCAAGAAGAAATAAATGGCAACTATAAGGAGATTTGATTCAGAAGAGCTTAAGTGCTCCTGATCCAAGCTAAAATGCTCTTGTCGTTACACCCATTAAAGATTCAGCAGCATCAATGTGAATGGAAAAATCACAGAGGTGCTTAGAAAGGAAATCTCACATAACATTTGCCCAGCTACCATGTAAAGGTAATAACTCTACTTTTTCAGCCTGGAGAACACAGTGAAAGAACCTTGTGGACAAAGGATTACGTGACAATATATATGTTTCAGTCATATGGGGGCAGATTATTATTAAAATAGTCTTCATTTGTAAACACAAAAGATCAGTTATGGCTGTTTCAATTTCAAATATAAGAAACTGTAAGCAAACTGTAATAAGAAAAATACACTTTCACAATCTGTTGAGATGTCTTGTCACTCACACTGAAGTTAAACTATGAAACTTTTATATCTCTATGGGTATTACTTCTTCACTGCCCAGTCTGAACTTCTTACTGAAATGCTTCAAAATACAGTCTAAGAAAGGGAATAAATTAATCAATGAATAAACCAGCAAAACTTGTCTTGGCAGCAACACTTCTTCAGTGGCTATCAGAATTATCCCTGGGAGACACAATCACTGTGCTTTATGATATCTGCACCCTGTCACTGTTAGCCCACAAGAAGCCAGACTGATTCTTTCATGTGAAATACTGCCTATTAAGGTAGATAAAGAGCAAACTAGACTCCTGCCCTTCTGAAGCTGGCTTTTTTTTTTTAAAAGTAGATATTTTAGTCATTTAAAAATTCATGTAAGCAAGAAAAGTGAGTAACATTATGAACTGACAGGTTACTATCTCATTTCCTTCCAATTCAGAAGAAAAATGTCTCATCTAGAACATGCATGAGCATGACAAAAGAGCCTTTTGAATTTAAAACAATCTTTCAATGTTTCCATATTTTACATAGTATTATTTGAAAAATGTAGTAACTCTTCACTACTCATGGCATTGACATCTTCTAAACCAGCAAAATTTGGCAAATTGCCTAAATACTAGTATCTGGTCCATTTCAATCAATAAATTGATAGTCACTTAATATTCAGTAACTGATTTTGCAACGTAAAATAGGTACTGTAAGCAATGCTGTAATGTTGTGGGAAATAGAAGATATAGATGTATTCCCTCACCAAAGCAGAAGAGCTTTATTAATTACCTCTCCTGAGAAATGGTAAATGTGAATTGAAAAAAGTGTACGAACAGACATGAAACAGGAGATGGAAAAATCATTTTAGCCTGTTGTCTTGACTGGGTTTTACTGTGATGCTCAGATGTACAGGATTATTAATAGAAAATACCTGTATATACATTTGCCTCGTTCAAAGGAGATCAGTAAGAGCAGGGGTCAAAATTTATAGGCATAAGTTCAGATTTCAATGATGTAGATAATGAATGTTTGATATTCTAAAAACAAATTTCCTGTTTAGCTTGGGAAATTAAGTGGAATCCCTTCTACTAGATTCAGAGTGGTTTTATGGCAAACAAAAACAAAACCAAAAAGTTTGTCTTGAAGAATTACACTTACAGAGAAAAACCATCTCCTCTTTTCCTGCTCATGCATTTTGTGATTTCAGATGTAATCTATTCATTATGGCTCTCTTCACCTCAAAACATTTTGACACAATCTTACTAAACTCATGTGCCAACTCTGCAAAGCTTAACTCCTCTTTCTCCACAAAAAGCGAGGAACTTTGGGATTTCAGTTCCTTCCACCAGAGATCAGTTGTCAACAAGGCAACACAATAAAATCAACAAGACATCTGGCTCTAACATTCCTGTTTTCCTCTTACAATATGGGATTCCATCTTACATATTATAACATATTGTATAACTTATATGCAATATATTATAATTATATCTTGTCTAACTACATTATTATATTATACATAATTTCTTTACTTCAAAACATATAATAAACCAAACTGTAGTAGGGTGTTGATATCTCCATTTTACTTAAAAACTACTTAAAAACCAGAGGAGTCTTTTAGCAATCCTGGCATTGCCACGTCAGTGTAAGGCACTTCAGGCCTTACTTTTCAGAGAACTTTGCATTTATACAGCATTTTATATATTCAAAGGGCACTTGTGCTAATTCCAAATACAGCTGTGCTCAGACCCAGGTACCTTGGCCTGCATGCCACAGCAACTAGAAACATAGACATCACCTCCAAATAAGTGACCTTCCAGAATCACATAAAAACTCTTTGAAAGAGAGAGAATAAAATCTAGTCTTTCAGTGGAGCTTTCAAATGCCTTAGAGAGAGTGCTTTTGATTCCTGCAGCCCTCTACTTAAATTACTACACTTTCCAGCAATTAAGGCAAGGGTTCTGGAGGCAACAGCTTCCTTTAATAAACACCCCTGATTCATTCTCTGGGCACCATTCCTCCTGTGAAAAAAATTATGTGATCACATAATTAAAGATCTTATCACTATGCATACATGCAAGGGACAAATTAAAACAGTTTGAACAATCTTCATTTTGACATTTTCCAACTTTTTTTGAATGCTCAGCTTTCAAAGTCAAGTGCCTGATTTCAAAGAATGTATTAATAATCTTTCATAGAAACGATGGTTAAAAAACAATCAAACCCTGTAATTTACTGCATTTTTAGCTAATTAAAATGAAAATCCCATTACATGGTACCATACGGATGCCTGCCTGGCTGCAAAGCTTGGCTTTAGCAATGCAGATTTGCTCCTGGTGCCCTATGAGACTAAGGGGTGGTGGTAACAAGCTGCTGCCCTCATTTATTTCAGACAGGTTTTTGCTGAAAGTTTCACAGCTTTTTGCAGACATTTAAGTAACCCAGGAACTATGATACCTGGCATCCAATTTCAGGGGTAACCATCCTCCCCCTCTCCTTTCTTCAGTTCAATCCTAGAGCCAAATCTAGACCTTCCCTATCTGCACATAATTTTGGGTGTTTTCTCCTCTTGTCCTTTATGTTTCCTCAGAACAGCCAGAAGTGAAAGAAGAGGACAAGAAGCTTACAAACCTTGCTCAATGCCTGGCGCCACAGTAACTGATGAAGTTGGGAGGAATAAATTTAATTCAACCTTTTTGGATAGAGATTGAAATATATTCAATACAAAAGCAATATGTGGAGACTACTGCCTACAACCTCTGAAAGAAATTCGATTGAATATGCACAAATGATGATTTCAAGGGGCTTCTAATTTGCTGAAATATTCCACGCAGAAAATAAAAACCACATGCAAAATCTCACTTGGAACAGCTACAGCTTCCCAGTAAAATACATGTATTTTAGACTTCAGTTCTATTTCCCTTTAGTTAATGACATTTAAATGTAGTGACTAGCTTAACAAAATAATTCAGCTTGGATAATTAGAGAAGGTTAAGTCACCCTCAGCCACCACAGTTCCAGGGATGGCTGTCAACACAGGAGAGGAGCAGCAGACCACTGAAGGGTATCTTATCTTCAACTGTAAAAGCTAAGTCAGACTCAGATCATGAACCATGACTGTCAACTACTGAAAACAGGTCACCAGACAAGCACATATGACATATCAGGCACATACAGGCCTATTCTGTTCAATGTATAGCATGTAGCCCCAATAAAAAAAATAAATTATTGAAGTCTTGTTATTCATTTCAGCTTTACTTTCACAGATGAATAGAAAGTTTCAACAAATGTACTACAAATTACACTGAATATTAACTATTTATTCAGTAAACAATTTTTTATATTAGCCAGCTAATGTTTTCGTATTATTCTGCTTGTCAATATAACATCCGAAATAATTATGAAATAGTAACTAAATAAATGAAAAATACATATTATGAACCATAATTACATATGCTCCTGTTGATCACTTTCTTGCTACAGTATCCTGATTCTTAAAGAAAAAATGACTATCTGTAGTCAAAGCTTTCATTACTCTAAGAGTAAATGACTGCAAAATGAACTGCAGAAAATGAGCTTTGCTTTCTGGATTTTTATAGTCCCAAATGCAGAGCAGATGTATGATGTTGTGCAATTCTAATTAAAAAAGAAATGTACTCAGGACAAAGTAGAGAGTAAAGAGCTAAACCAGAGATATACATTATTTTGCTGGTTGAATATAGGAAATGATGATACATGTATCTAGTTCAATTGAAACATGATATTTGAAAGGAAAAAAACCCACATTCGTTCTCTGACTTAAAACCAGTAAACCCAGAAAAATCAAGGCATACACTAATAGTGTGGTGATGAAAGACTATAGGAATTACTGTTTCCATAGTATGTACCATAGTGACCA